TGCCAATTCATTGATCTCCTCTTTCTCTATTTTATTCATGTAAACATTTAGAGATATAAAACTTCCCTTAAGAACCACTTTCACTGAATCCCATAAGTTTTGCTATGTTGTCTCATTATTGTCATTATCTTGGATGAAGTTCTTGATTGTTGCTATGATTGATTTGTTGTTTGACTCACTCATTCTTTAGGATTAGATTATTTTGTTTCCAATTAATTTTAGTCTCTCTTTCCATGGCCCTTTATTATATATAATTTTTATTGTATCATGATCTGAAAAGGATTCATGTAGTATTTCTGCTTTCTGCATTGGATTGTGAGGTTTTTATGTCCTACTACATGGTCAATTTTTGTGTTGTTGCCATGTACTGTCAAGAGAAAGGTATATTCCTTTCTATCCCCATTCAGTTTTCTCCAGAGATCTACCATATCTAACTTTTCTAAAATTCTGTTCACCTCCTTAACTTCTTTCTTGTTTATTTTGTGGTTAGATTTATCTAGTTCAGAGAGGTGGAGGTTAGGTCCCCCACTAGTATAGTTTGGCTGTCTATTTCTTCCTGTAACTCCCTTAACTTCTCCTCTAATAATTTGGATGCTATATCACTTGGTGCATATATGTTTGGTAATGATACTACTTCATTGGTAATATCATCAGTGCCTTTTAGCAGGATGTAGTTGCCTTCCTTATAGCTTAATTAGATCTATTTTGCTTTTGCTTTGTCTGAGATTAGGATTGCTACCACTGCTTTTTTTTTTTACTTCAGCTGAAGTATAATATAATCCACTCTAGCCTTTTACCTTTACCTTGTGTGTATCCCTCTATTTCAAATGTGTTTCTTGTAGACATCATATTATAGGATTATGGTTTTTAATCCATTTTGCTATTCACTTCTATTTTATGATAGTTCATCCCATTCACATTCACAGTTATGATTAGTGTTTATGTCTTTCTCTTCATCCTATCCCCTACCCCCTTATGCTTTTCTTTTTCCTTTATCCCTTTCCCTCATCACTAGAGTTTTGCTTTTGACCACCACCTCCCTCAAACTGCCCTCCCTTCTATCAGGCCCCTCCCTTTTCTTTTGCTTTTCCCTTTCTACTTCTTCCCTGCCTTTTATCCATTCCTTTCCTTTCTTTCCCCTTCCCTCTCCTACTGCAAGTAGGGTAAATTAGATTTCTGTACTTGAGTATGTTATTCCCTCCTTGAGCCAAATCCAATGAGAGTAAAATTCAAACAATGCTTATCTCCCTTCCTTCTTTCTCTGTACTGTAAATAGGTCTTTGTACCTCTTCATGTGATGCAATTTACTCTTTTCTGCCTCCTCCTTTCCTCTTCTCCCAGTATAATCCCTTTTTACCACTTAATTAGATTTTTATCATCACATCAAAGTTAACTTATACCCATGCCCTCTGTCTGTGAAAACCCCTTCTAAATATCATAATAACAAAACAGTTCTCAAGAGTTACAATTATCATCTTTCCTTGTAGGGATGTAAACAGTTTGCCCTTATTGAATAATATATTGGGTTTTTTTCTTGCCTGTTTACCTTTTTTATGCCTCTTTTGAGTCTCATATTTGAAGATCAAATTTTCTGTTGAGCTCTGTTTTTTTTTTTTTTTCATCAGTCAGGTTTGGAAGTCCCCTATTTAATTGAGTATCCATCTCCTACCCTGGAAGATTATACTCAGTTTCACTGGATAGTTGATCTTTGGTTGTAATCCAAGCTCTTTTGCATTCTGGAATGTCATATTCCTAGCCCTTAGATATTTTAATGTAGAAGCTACAAGGTCCTGCATAATGCTGACCGTGAATCCACAATATTTACATTGTTTCTTTCTGGCTATTTGCAGTATTTTTCTTTGATCTGATAATTTTGGAATTTGGCTACCATATTCCTTGGTATTTTTAATTTTCATCTCTTTCTGTAGGTGATTGGTAGATTCTTTCAATGACTATTTTGCCCTCTGGTTCTAGGGCCTCAGGGCAGTTTTCCTTGATGATTTCTTGAAAGATTCTGTCCAGGATCATTTTTGGATTGTGGCTTTCAGGTAGACCAATAAATCTTAAATTATCTCTCCTGTATCTATTTACAGTTCAGTTGTTTTTCCCATGAAATTGTTTATGTTTTCTTCTATTTTTTCTGCTTCTGATTTTTTTGGACTGATTCTTGATGTCTCATAGAGTCATTAGCTTCCACTTACATCATCCTAATTTTTAGTGAATTGTTTTCTTCAGTTAGCTTTTGTACCTTCCTTTCCATTTGGCCAATTCTTCTTTTTAAGTAGCTGTTTTCTTCAGTGTACTTTTTCCCATTTTGTCAATTGTATTTTTAAAGGAATTGTTTAATACTTCCTCTACCTCTCTTATTTGACTTTTAAAATCCTTCTTGAGCTCCTCCAAGAAGGCTTTTTGGCCTTGAGACCAGTTCATATTCTCCTTGAGGTTTCGGATGTGGGTATGTTGACAGTGTTGTCCTCTCCTCAATTTGTATTTTGATCTTCCCTGTCACCAAGATACTTCTCTATGGTCATTGTTTTTCTTTGTTGCTTCTTGCTCATGTTGCTTGCCTTTTTTTTCTGGCTTTTAAAGTTGATATTTGCTTCTCAGGCACAAGGGTGCTGTCCCAGGCTTCTTTTGCCGGGGGCTAGGGGCCTAGTAACTAGTTTTGTATGCTAAGGCCTCAGATGTTGGCAGCTGAAGGCAGTAGGCATCTGGTAATTTACCTGGTGCTGAGCTGCAGCTGGTGGTGGTGGCGGTGGTTGGTGTGTGCCTTGGTGTTGGCACTTGCCTCCTCTACCACCCTGGGGCTCAGTATCTCCTGCTGGTTTGCTGAGGCGGGGCTTGCTACCGTCTTGCCAGGATGCCTCCCATCCTGTACTGGTTTCCTTCAGCCATAGAAAGAGGGACCTTTCCCATTGTATGTGATCTAGCCTTCCAAGCTAAAAGACTGCTCTACCTTGTCTTTCTCCTGACTCCACTATTCCAGTATTTTCCTGGGGCAATATTCTCTGGGTTTTTCAAAGTAAATAAGGAAGAGTGAGAGAGACTTACTGTTTACTGTTCCATCTTGGCTCCCAGATGTTGAAATAGGTGACTTTTCAAACTTCTATCAGTGGGCTGATAGCTCCAGAAATAGCTGCTGCTGCCGCCGATTAAGTCACTCCCACGGCTTGCTTCTGATTTGCTTGGGGTGGGTCTGTTTTGGCTTTTCTCTCACCAAGTTCCAACAGACCCCTCCTGCTGAATTTCTAAGTTGTCTCCAGTATCTGTGGATTGAGAAATCTGGAAACTGCCACTGCTGCCAGTAATTCAGTCCCCCGGAGGCCTGCTCTGGGTTATGTGGGACTGGGTCTGCACTAGTGCAGCCTGCAGTAGCCTGTGCCCCTCTCTCAGCCTGGTGCAACAGACCCTTCTTGTTGACCTTCCAGGTTGTCTTGGGTGGGAAATCTGCATCACTCTGTCTCTTTGAGGGTTCTGCCACTCTAGAATTTATTCAGTCACTTTTTAAAGGTAACTGAAGCGGTTTGAGGGAGAGCTCAGGTAAGTGCCTGTTTTCACTCTGCCATCTTGGGCTCTGCTTCCAGGAAGAGGGATTTTTACAAGGAGTACACCATCACAAAAAATATAAATTTTTATCTGCTATTGGTGGTGGAGGTTGGTGTGTAAGCGGGTAATTATTTTATCATTATTTTATCTTTTGCAATATTTTTTCTCTTTACTTATAAATACTGAAAAAAGTCAAAAGTATGACTATTAAATACAACTTTTCTTTCTAATTTTACTCACTGAGGATTGTTTCAATAAGGATTTAGATCAATTAGGCAGGTAGAAGGAACATATATACCTTATGTAATTTAGTGGACATATTTGGAATTATTGTATATATATTGAAAAATAAATTTGTATTTTATATGTACCAAAGTATTTTCTTTCTAATAAGGGAATTTCATGGTGGATCCTTTTGAAAAGGATTATTTGCTAAAGTGAAAACTTCAGTTAAATAAATATTTGTCATCATTTTCAGAAATGAATGTTCATATAGAAGTTTTTTTTAAAACAAATTTCAACTGTGCTTACATTATCACATATAATGATAAATAATATGGTATGCTGATACTTTAATTTTGGAGGAAATCCAAGAAAACTTAAATATTAGTTGAAATAGATTATCTATATAATTATGTGTATTTTTGCTTATATATGTGTATTTATATGTATATATTTATAAATAAAATCTCTTGATAAATCTTTGTTGATATATTTTATTTTGATACCTCAGTGAATTTCCAACCCTACAACTTCCTTTCATAGTAGGAATCAGGGGGCAGGGCAGGAGGGAATAAGCTATTGTATAGTGTCTGCTATGTGCCAGGCACTGTGGTAAGCACTTTACAAATATCTCATTTTATTCTCACAATAGTCCTGCAAAGTAAATTTTGTTATTTGTCCCCTTTTATAGTTGAGGAAACTGAGGCAAACAGAGGTTAAATGATTTTCCCAAAGTCATAAAGCTAATAAAGTGTCTGAGGCAAGATTTGAACTCAGATTTTTCTAATAAGGCCTAACAATCTATTCGCTGTATGACGTAGCAGTACCTTCCTGTAGTGGTATGGTGGAATTTGGTTCAAAGCCCACCTTTGATATTCTGTGTCCTCTTGACAAGTCTCTTTACATTCAGTTTCAGTTTCCTAATTTGTAAAAAGAGGGGTTTGGACAGGATAACCTCTGAGGTCCTTTGCTAATAGAGTAATTGTTAGAGACACTACAGATCACTTTTTATTTTTGTATTCGACCAGGTATTAACGGAAGGGGTGTGTGTTTTAAGTATTATTATTTGGAGCTATCTTATACATGTAATTTGACATGTTTTCTTACCTTCTACTGCTGTCCCCATTTTTGTTCTCAGAGTCATTGTATTTGTAGCTCAAGTATCCTTATTCTGAACAAACTGCATAATATTATACATGAAAAACAACATCTTTTAAATCTTGTTTTGGCAGCAATTAAAAGCAGTTTCATGAAAGAATTCTTCTGTAAGGTGGAGTCTATCTATCTAGAAGCTAAAGGGACTGCAAGTCTAAATCTTCATTTTCTTCCATTTGATCTCAATAAGCGGTATTGTGTTATCATATTCAGCAATACTAAGGTAAGAAGAAAATTGCAGTTTTTAATTTCACTTGTTTTTCCTGACATTTTTATCTGAACAACTTATGTAGCTCATTGAGAAGGCAGGAAAAGTCTGGATATTTTCCTGTGTGCCTCATGGTCTTCTGTTTTGAACTTCCCTTAAATGTTGTCAGTCAGTCATTCAGTCGATAAACATTTTATTAAATACCTACTATGTGCTAGGCACAATGCCAAGCACCGGGCATACAAATATGAAAAAGAAAGAGATCCATTGCTCTGAAGCAGTTTTCAATCTGATGGGGAAGAAAACAAACCAAAGGAAGCTGAAAAGCTTAGGAAGGAGGAGGAAGAGACAAGATACCCATACAAAGGAATGCAGCTGGTTTTGTGAGAAATGAAGAGATGATAGCAAGGCGATGCAGTGGGTAGAGCACCAGGCCTGGAATCAGGAAGACCCAAGTTCAAACTTATTAGACATTCACTGGCTGTGTGACCCTAGGTAAGTCACTTAGCCTGTTTGCCTCAGTTTCTTCAACTGTCAAATATTGTAAAATAATGTAAAATAATAGCACCCACCTCATAGAGTTGTTAGGACCAAATGAGATGATAATTAGCTAATGTTTATATAGTTAAATAGACAGATAGATAGATAGATAGATAGATAGATTGATAGATACAGATATAGCTATAGATGAATGTTAGCTAATAATAAGAATAAGAAGAAGGTTGTCTTGGTAGCCCTCTTTAAATGGAGACTTTGTGAGGAGCCCTTTGTTTTCCCCTGTAGTCCTCCAATCAGAAGACCGGAAGGTAAAAGGGTATGGAGCATATTGATGAGGTGTAATTCTCAAGTCTGATGCAATCTCATAAGATAATGACGCTCCTGCTGATGAAACTTCTTGAGGGCATGATAGAATCTAGCCCAATGCAGCACAAATCATCAGAAATAGAGAGGGAAGGCAAGACTGCTCTTACAACTTCCTCCCGGTTAGCTGCAGCACATAATCATCACTTGGGCACAATGTCTCCTTCCAGTCCTGAGAGGTACATGAATCAAAAATTAGAGGCAGCCAGCAAAACAAACACAACTCCTTATCTCAGCTCTACTTAAAGGATCTAACAACAAACTGGCTACCACTACATACAAGACATTGTGCTAGATCTGGAGATTTAAAAGACAGAAAAGGAAGCAGCCGTTGCCCTCAAGGATCTTACTTTCTTTTGAGAATATCTAAAAAATGTACCTGGTATATAGATAAGACAAGATAAAGAGGGAGAAAACACTAACAGCTGGGCAGCTAGGAGCCACAGTGGATAGAACACTGAGTTTGGAGTGAAGAAGACCTGAGTTCAAATATGGCCTCAGATAATGAATGAGTGTGACCTTGGGCAAGTCATTTAGCGTCTACCTCAGTTTCCTTAACTATAAAATTGTAAAAATAATAACATCTACCTCACAGGTTATTGTGAGAGTCAAATGAGATAATGCTTGAAAAGTGCTTAGTACAGTTTATGGTACATAGTAGGTGCTATGTAAATAATAACTATTATTATTATCTGAGCTTTATGGAGGAGGTACCATCCTCACTCAATCTTGGATGAAGAGAATAGGAACAGAGGTAGTGTCTTTGAGATCCAAACAGTAGTGATTCTCTTTTGTCCTCCTTACTACAACCCCCTAGTTGCTCCAATTTATTCTTTCTCTACTTTTTCCTATTTCTTTATCCACTCTTATTTTATTTTCTTTAGTCCCCACAATAATCCCTTATATTATAGACTTGTCCTTCACTGAGTCTTTCATTAGCATAAACTGAATCAGTGATGGAAAGCAGTAAAAGTTGTGTACATGGGAAGCTATTCATTTAATAAATTCCTAATAGCAAACATTCCTGACTCCTTTTACTTCCTAAGTTCTCAAATTTTATGAAGAGCTTGTAGACCTTTTGTTTATTCTGCATTCACCCTTTAACTTATATTATTATATTTAACTCATAATACACATTAACAAACTTAATATCTCAGTTTCATAGACTCTTAGAACATGAAGGGACAAAATATCATTACCCTATTTTCTTCCCCAAAAAAACTACCCATTCCCAAATTACTTTCAAATCATTCCTTCTAGAGAAATCTTTCACTATTCTGTAGTTGTTTCTTTCTATACCATCAAATATTTTAAAAAATACTACTTAGTTGTAGTTATTATTTCCCAGTTTCTCTGAAAGATGATGGTTACTTGTTATCTTTTTCTCCTCCTACTAACTTGGTTCCATTGAAATTCATTGGTTTAAGCAACTGACTGATCTTTGTGAAGTTGTTCTTTTGAATATTGTCTCCTCCATCAACATGGTACATTGTTGGCCTACAGAGCTTATATTGTCCAGAAGATAAATGGCTCGACTCTCAAATTTATTTTTAAAAAGTATGTGCTTTTATCCAACGCTTTTAGAGCATAGCAGCCTGAACAAAAGAATTGATTGAGCTAAGTGCCTAACATATTGATAGGAAAGCTTGCTCAGTTAAAATAATTTAAACCAATATAGGTCAAATTCAATTTAGTTTTACTGCACTAAGAATTACCAATGAGAATCAAGAATAAAGTAAGAAGTTTTCTATATGCGTATATTTATTTGTCCCTATGCTTATGAGAAATATTTCTCCAAAATATCAAACTTGATCTGTTGATTACCATTATTCTTCCTTTCCTTCAGAAAAGCCAGTCATTTGACTGGTTTGAAAAACCACTCTTGTATAATTGTGTATTAATTAATAGTTTGATTAAATTCTACCTTTATTTTGGTATGCTATGTTTCTTTTTGTATTACTATCCTGGGCCAGGCCTTGCTCAGGTAGTTCAGGGATTCAGGCTCAGAATTTGCATGCAATGAAATATATAAGGAGCGTAAAATACAATGAAGATGACTTTACTAATTTAAAAGGATAAAGAGAATATAATTCATAAAGTTAGAAAGATAGTGTTTCTTTGAAAAAAAAAGTGCTACTTGTTTCACTTTCACATGTACCAGGGAAACCAGACTTCTATGTCAGAAATGCATTCCTGAAGGGTAAGAAGAACTTCACAAATCCTTTTGATACCAATTCACCATAGGCTGGGTCTTTTATTCGTCAGATAGCAAGAAAGCCAAACAAATGATGATTCCAAGAAGAACCACTCCCATCTCCTTATAAGGAACCCATCTCAGGCTGCAGAAAACATGTGCTAATCCTACCACAATTACATATAGACTTAGAAAACTAAGTAAGCTATATTTTCCTAGATTTTTAAATTTTAAAAATTTTGAGTTGCATTTGTATAGGAAATCAATTTTGCATTACAAAATGAAGTAATAAGAGTTGTCTGAGTATATAATTATATCAACTAATCAAAACTTAATTGTATTTAGTTTAATATTTCATATGTGTAAACATGATTTTTGGTTTCATACAGTGTTCTTTTTAAAAAAAATATTAGAAAATCCAACCAACAATTTTAAAAATTACTTATAAATAATATCCCCCTAATTAAAAATGTGGAACATTGTTAAGAGTAAATTATAATTATGCATACAGGAAATGAATGTATGAATCTAAGCATTAAATTATGTTGCTAACTATACTGAAAAATTACAATTACACACTCAAGTAAATAATCAAGTATGCAAGCCCACCTAAGCTTGTCTGAGTTTATTTAAATGTATGATAGCTGTACTGCTGTTAGGTATCACCTGCTGAGAATAGTGAAATAACTAATCCTCATTTGCTATTTTCCCCTGGGTTTCCTATTAATATTGTTGTCTTAAGTAAGCTATGTGTTCCATTTTTTTTCTTTCAAAATTAACATGAAGTCAAATGCAAAAACTTTGAAAAAAGGTAAAGGCATTAGTAGAACACTAGAATATGTTCAAATACTGAAATGAATCTGGGCTTTAATTGCTTGATCTCCAGGCTGCACCCCAGACATCTAAGACACTTCAGAAACTTGTTTGTCTGGGAAACTCACTCCAGTCCTGAAAAATCACACAGCAGAAGTACCCTCTCTTGCTGTGGTCTTTTCTTCTGATTGGATGACTTCTCCTGGAACCTCTGTTTAAGGGGGACCTTCAGGCCAGACCTTCCTCTCCAGGCTGTGCTCAGGACTTTCTCTACCATGTCCTGGTGCTGCACATGGGACCTTTGTCATCCCCTCCCACCATAGCTTCATCAACTTCCTTTTTTGTGTTGTCCTCTTCCATTAGAATGTAAGCTCCTTATGGGGAGAGACTAGCATCCAACTTGTATTTGTTTTCTCAGAATTTAGCATGGTGTCTCTCACACAGTAAGCACTACAATGCTTTATCCACTGACTGGATGTTCCCTCCAGCGATGCAGATCACAACATGTACAGGCCTGTCTCTCTGGTCATTGTGATTCTTGTCCATGTTTTTCCATAAGAACATCTTCTTTCAGAAAGTGACCAGTAGATTCTATTTTTTTTTCTTTCCTTTCTGATTTAATAGGAGCTCTTGATCTAATATGCCTGCACAGTTTTCTTTCTTTCATGATTTCATAAAATGTAATATCTTGGCTTTTACTTTTCTTTTTGTCATCGCTTTCAGGTATTCAAATAAGTTTTAAAATTTCTCTCCTTAATCTGTTTTCCAGGTCATTTGTTTTTCTTATGGGATTCTTAATATTTTTTTCTATTTTTCAATCTTTTGAATTAGAACAATATTCATTATTTTATGGGGTCACTAACTTCTGTTTGGCCATTTCTAATTTTCAGAAGGCTGCATGTTCAGGGTCCACTCTTATGTCTCAGGACAGAATGTTACAGACCTCAGGGCCCCAGGAGTTTCCTGGTCTGAGCAAAGTAGCACTGAGAACTGTGGCAATATGTTGTGTGCTGGTCATTGGTTACTGGTCACCAGCTGCTACTATTCTCTGAAGTGTCCAAGGTTCTGGCAAGTGAGTCCTCTTCTCTTTCTTCCTCTGAATAGAGACACTTTCAAGTTGCAGGTGTCCCATCTCAGGTCGCACTAG